ATTTTTTTAAGTATTTTACATTTAGCATTTTAAATAGAATTACATTTTAAATGGCATTTTAAATGCAAAAATACCTAGCCCTAGAGTTGATGGTGAATTAAGTTTATTAGTATATAACGAGATTCAAAGGGATACACACACTTTTTGCGTAGTCACATGCACTCGTACACTAGCCTCTTTTGCCGCCATGCTTGTTCTGTCTCTCTCGCTTTCTTCTCCGTTCGTGTAAGCGCCTAAGCGTTAACCTACCTATCTAGGGACTCCTCACCTTGCCGTACAAGTGGCGCGAAATTAAACTTAACGAATATACTTCCTACATATATATATTAGAATTAGCTTGGTCGACAAGCATTTCAAGTATTTATCTTTTTTCAGCAAAAAGTGAAAGCAGTTTAAAATATTGCAGAAACTGCAATAAATGGCCTGATGGCAACACCGGCTCCAACAATGCTGACATCATTGGCGACAACAATGACGACGATGACGTCGTCAACGTCGGCAACAACGGCGACGGCGACATTGATGACGGAAAGGACAAGACCTAAAATGATCTCATGCTCCACGCAATGGGAAAATCCACGGCGAGGCAACATGAGCAAAGTAAGTTGTACAATATTGGTATAATACAATTATACAAGGTTACGTTCCAGAATTCGACTCGGTCAATTCTGAGTATCTGTTATCCTTGTTCAATATCAATTCAGTTTAAAAAAATGTGTTTTTAAAACTTTTGAAAAATTATCGACAAGAATAAATGTAGGATAATGTGGTGCAATTTCGAAGTTGTTACTTTTTGGACACAAAATACAAAAACTAATAATAAGTGGGCTATTGGAGCCTTACGCCAGTTAGTACACTGTGAATATAAATGTCAATGTAAAGATATTATTTACAAATTATATATCAATTGAAAACTTAATCATACGACGTTTGGACCTTTACTGTGGTCAACTTCAGTGATATTACAAATTTAAAATTATCTTAACAATATTACAATATGTTCAACTCTGTTACTATAATTCTACATTCGTCAATTATAAAAATTGTGATCTTCGTTATCAAGGTGTTCTTTTGATAATTCCATTAATTCTGTTCTTCCATTACGCGTTATTATCCTCATTGTTGTCGCAATTGTGTTATCATATCCCAGATTATGCTCCATTATGTGTAACATAGCAGATCCGAGGATTCTTTATTGGATTCACAACCAATACTGTCTTACCATACATCAGTAATTAATTATGTAAGATTGTATTTAATTCCTCCCATCTGCTATATTCTTACATTATAAAATTTTTCTATTATCTTTAGCAATGAGAATAACCTTCTCCGTCAAGATTTTGTACAATAAATAGATTATTATATAAATTATTATTATTACTATTATTATTATATAAATAGATTATATACAGGGTGTTTCCAAATTAAATGGCAAAACTTCGGGAGCGTGTAGAGGAGTAAAAAACTAAGAAAAAAAGTCCTATAGACATATGCTCGTTTTTGCTCCGTTTCAGAGAAATCGAAAAAAAATGTTTACATTTCTTGCCATATCTAGCACCGACATATTTGATTACATTTTCCACTTTCTGTTATGAATTTGTCAGTCGCTCTTTGAAAGCCTTTAACAGTAGATGAATTTTGTCTTTTGCAATATGCCGCGTACGTATTCTAATAGTGAATATGCTGATATGGTTTTTGTATACGGTTTCTGCAACGGTAATGCTTTAAAGGCGGTGCGAGAATATGCACGACGATTTCCAAACAGAAGAGTGCCAAACCGAAGAGTGTTTATGTTGACATTTAATAGATTGCGAGAGACTGGAACATTTTCAATTCGACAAGAAAACAACCGATTTCAAGCAGCGTTACGAAGAGATTTGCAGGCAGGGAATCGTATTTTACAACATTTTGACAATCATCCTGAGACCAGCGTTCGGAATGCGTCGGCTGTATTGGGAGTGTCACCACAAACAATTTGGCGAACTGTAAAAGGAGATAATCGCTATCCCTACCACATTCAAAAAGTGCAAAATTTATTACCTCAAGATCATTGGAACAGATTGAACTTTTGTAACTGGTACCTTCAGACATGCCACAATGATATTTTATTTCCATCTAAAATAATGTGGTCAGATGAGGCAACATTTACCAGAGGTGGAATAATTAATCAAAGGAATTATGGGCTCATCAAAATCCCAGGTCTGTTAGAGAATACAAATTTCAGCAAGAGTTTTCTGTTAATGTCTGGCTTGGAATTTGGAACGACGTTTTAGTGGGACCGTTTTTTTTACCTGCAAGATTAAATGGGGACCGTTTTCTAAATTTCTTGGAGAATGAATTTTCTGACTATTTAGAAAACATCCCATTACAACAACGTACTGAAATGTGGTTTCAATTAGATGGATGCCCTGCTCATTACAGCAGAGTCGCTAGAACCTGGTTAGATAGAAAATTCCCACAACGATGGATTGGACGTGGAGGAGCAGTACATTGGGCAACTCGTTCGCCCGACTTAACGCCATTAGATTTCTATGCATGGGGTACTCTGAAGCAAGAAGTTTATTCTTCGCCTATTCAATCAGAGCAACATTTGAGAAATCGTATCGTAGCTGCAGCGAACAGAATATCGCAAGAACAGTGCCTGGCTGCTACAAGAGCCGTGTTTGACAGATGCAATGCTTGTATTGCTGCAAGAGGTGCACATTTCGAACAAAATCTTCATTAAAAAGTTTATAAATAAAATAATTAAAATAATAAATTAAATATATTTTTTTCTTTTTTCGTGATTTCCTGCGAAACAAAGCAAAAAGGAGCATATGTCTATAGGACTTTTTTTCTTAGTTTTTTACTCCTCTACACGCTCCCGAAGTTTTGCCATTTAATTTGGAAACACCCTGTATATAGATTATTGTACAAAATCTTGACGGAGAAGGTTATTCTCATTGCTAAAGATAATAGAAGAATTTTATAATGTAAGAATATAGCAGAGGGGAGGAATTAATTACAATCTTACATAATTGGTTACTGATGTAAGAGAGTATTGGTTATAGATTCAATAAAGAATTCTCGGATCTGCTATGTTACACATAATGGAGCGTAATCTAGGATATGATAACACAATTGCGACAACAATGAGGAGAATAATGCGTAATGGAAGAACAGAATTAATGGAATTATGAAAAGAACATCTTGATAACAAAGATCACAATTTTTATAATTGACGAATGTAGAATTATAACAGAGTTGAACATATTGTAATATTGTTAAGATAATTTTAAATTTGTCCAGCACTTGCTGTGTCTACTTTGCCCGCTTCAACTGTGCTGTTTGCGAACGCAATCACTCCAGCAGGACACATATCGCCTGCCACGGCAAGATGCTTGCCGATTCCGTTCGCGCCGGTAGGATACGTACCGATATCTTCCGCATCGGCCCAGCAAGCACCGGCAGGATACGTACCGGTATCTTCCGCGCCGGCTTGATACGTACCGGTTCCACCCGGGCTGGCGGGATACGCACCGGCTCCGTTCGGGCCGGCGGGATACGTACCGGCTCCATCCGGACCGGCGGGATACATGCCGGTTTACAAATAATGTTAGTTGCCATGGAATTAAAATTCTAATTTTCCATTTTCTTCTGATAATTGTTACTGATATTTATTTAATAGAAACGACTAAAATTAGTACGGACCTAACGACAGATTAAATTTTCGACTTGAATATCTTTATTCAGACAGATACATCTATACGTATACAGATCATCCTATTTTGGAGACATATAACATATTTATTCGGAGTCTGAGTCCTTTCTGCCATAGTGCTATTTCGGTATTTCATTCTGCAATTCAAGAATGTGAATTCTATCGATTCTGGTTTGGCAACATCGCCGATGCGGCGAGGACGCACGATTCCTTCTCTAAACAACGATACTGATATATATTTCTATATATACAAAAATATATTATTATTATGGCGTTTCCAGCTGATAATATATTGCTGGTTTACACAATGTTTCTATCCATTTCTGTAGTTGAATAGCGGTACTTCGTTTACGCGCGACCGATAAAAGGAATGGCGCTTCTTACTAAGAGTGCGTTCCGTTTCTCGCATGATGTGCATAATGCATCGTTTATCCTTGTTGCTCACCAAATGTTAAACAAGGACAATGGATGCGCATAATGCAAGATACGGAACGCACCTTAAGTCGACACTTCGACATCTGAGTCGAGTAAAAAATGTGCTGTATACAATAATTTTACAGGTCGCACGTTTAAAATAAGTAGCTAGCAGCCTACAGAAAATCTCAAAGAACAATATTATGCTTGCAGAAACGAGCTATGAGCTTTAGTATAAGAGTAATGAGTATTTGAAAATTTCATTTATATGCTACGTCTGCTACGAGATTGCTGCTTGTCGTTCCGACATCCGAGCAGAATCGAAGATTAACCAAAACATACATCGCATTCCGAGCCCTGATGTATGTATATGTAAATAATTCAGTAAATATAAAGTTATTTGGAAAGTTTAGACATGTATTATATATATGTACACGCACGCGCACGCACACACGCACACACGCACGCACACACACACGCACACACACACACCACACACCACGCGCGCCCGCGCGTAAGTCCATTATATTATATATATATTATACATATATATGTATTGTATTATAATATACTCGTATATATATGCATCAATAATTTACTAAATAAAATGTATGTAAAAGACAGAACAGTGCAATTAAAATAATAATCTTCATTTGTATTCATATGTAAATAATATGGTATATTCCTTGTTTATGAAGAAATTATTTGTACAAAATTAAAATAACTAATATCATATTTGTTTTATTATTATTTTTCCTCTCAGGAGAAAATATTTTGTCCAGGGCACGTAAAAAACTTGTTACGGGTCTGAGTATGTCGATAATTTTGATCGTTTCTGTGATCCAGCAAAGCACATTTTATGACAGCGCCGCTGTTGTAATATCGAGGAACTAAAATAGTGCTCGGTGTCATGGCTTCACATCAGTTTTATTCGTAGCATACGAACGAAATTCTTGGCGACTCTTTCCTCTTATACTAAAGCTCCCAGCTCATTTTTACAGGCATAGTATTGTTCTTCTAGGTTTTCTGTAGGCTGCTGGCTACTTATTTTAAACAGGTAAAATCTGAAACTCTTATATGCAGCACATATTGTGACGTGTCGACTACAGAAGCCGATAACAAAACTGTAAGTCTTAAATTTTCTTTCATTTTTTGTATTAAATTGTAGCTGGCAGCCTGTTGTTGTTGATACTTTAATTGTGGAAAAGGACTTTTCAATCCATAAACACAATTAAGAGAAAAGAGTTTTCAAAAATTAAATGGTAAAACAGGACACTCCAGCATTCCCGTAAATATATGTTTGGTGTCGTTAAAAATGTAGGCGGTCTCAAGGTTGCGGCGTGTTGCTTTCGCCGTCGATATTTCCGGACAATTTATTTTGTCTAAGTTCGGTCGCGGCGTGGGTGGACATGCAATGTCCCGAAAAATCACAATCCCGAAAACTGAAAACTAAGACAATGTCCCGAAATGTCACAGTCTCGAAATTTAAGAAATTCGACAATTTCCCGAAAAGACATAATCCCGAAATCTCTCTCTCTTAGATATGAGACAATATCCCGAAAAATAAAAATCCCTAACTTTAAGTAGTGTGACAGTGTCCCGAAAAATTATAATTTCGAGAGAATTAAGATGTCTCTAAATAACTCTAGAAATATGAGAAGAGACATACACATTCTGAGAAAATAAATCTTAAAGATGCATCTATGCATAAACGCACGCACGCACACATGCACGTATGTATTACATAGGTCCAAAATTCGCAACTCAAAATGCAACAGCAAGAGAATTCTCGAGAAATTAAGTAAAAAAGTTTTTTTAAAAAAAATTTATTGAACTAAAAGACACATTTTGATGTGTAAATGATTTAAGCATTATAATAAAATAATTAACAATGAAACGAAGAACTGTGGACGTAAACATATTTAAATACTACAATTAATATTTTAATGTTTTAAAATTAGTTTCTATTATTTGTATCCATATGCCACTGAGAATTTTTTGACAATATGGTAGTGCACTCGTCAATGATAAAAAATCTTCGATTTTTGGAAGGCCATCGTCTAACCTATCCCAGGCGTCTATGCGTTTGCTAAAGCATGATTTTTAATTATCCAGTTATATGTCATTCTTATTAAAGGCTTTCCTGCCTTCAAAGTCGCTAGATCTCGACGAATTGTTGACTGTAATTCTCCTAACTTTTCTGTAAATAAGAAATTGAAGCATATATAATATTTTAGGTATTAATCAAAAATATGAATTGATATTTTCACGGTTTGATATTTTACATACTTATGAATATCCATGCATCATGATTATCCGCAAATTTATGATTCAATGTCCTGTGGTATCTTTCAATTAAATTATTCATTCGTTTAAGTTTTCGATACATAGAAAAACGAGTTGGTGTAACTCTGTTTATCCAAAAACGGACGTAATACTGCAAATCGATGGAATCGACGTCTCATGTATTCTGACATATTTGCTTCAATTTTTTGGAAAGCTATCGCAATTTCAGTTTCTGGTAATAATGCCAAAGTCCTTAACTTTGTAAGTATTTCTTCTGCATGTTTTGATTTTGCAATCTTTTTTCCTACAAATTTTCTCATATTTTTAGATAACGCCTATAAGATATTAAAAAGATTTGATTAATTACTGTATATATTACTATTGATTTTTCTAATATATGATTATTAACAGAGAGATGGAGAGAAAAAGGAAATACCTGCAAATAATGAAAATAACATCCTTTCACCTCAGCGGACGGTAAAACCGTCAAAAAAGCTTTTTGAAGAGCAAATTCAAAATCCGTCATTATTATTCATGGACGCAATGCTAATATTAATTTTTTAAATATATATTCCAATATTGATTTATAATCTATATATTTTCTTCGTTCCATGATAACCCATGCAAAGGATATTCCCTATAGAGGGAATAGGAAAATAATTCCTCTAATTTTAATAATTGTTACAATCTTTTCATAGATGTTATTAATAATTTTTAAAAGACTTACGTGATTAAATTTTCGAGCCATCAATGTAAAAAGTTGTCGCGTTTTATTAACAGTTGAATTTTTATTTTTATTTTCTAATAAAATGCAAGCAGTTTTAAACGTAGCGTTAGCAGATACTTCTTCAATAGTTCCCATTTTGCATAAGAATCGAATAAATTTTCGATCAAATATTATTAAATGCGTTTTGCTACGATCTTCGGATTTTATAGATTTAATACTTAGGGAATATTTTTTACTATATTTCAATAAATGTTTCCATTCCTCACTTTTTAATGTTTTCGCGAAATCTCGCAATGATGTAGGACACGCAGGTCTTAAATATCTTCTCCATCGTACCATCGATCTTTTTACGCTTTGGAATGGTACTAAAGGAGAAACATTTTCATATCTAAAAAGATGTGATTATATTAGAAAAGAGGGTTTTAATAAGTAATAACAATTGTGAGCAACATATTATACACACATATTATACACATACTTTCTGTTTACATCATCATATACAGGGTGTTTCCAAATTAAATGGCAAAACTTCGGGAGCGTGTAGAGGAGTAAAAAACTAAGAAAAAAAGTCCTATAGACATATGCTCCTTTTTGCTTTGTTTCGCAGGAAATCACGAAAAAAGAAAAAAATATATTTAATTTATTATTTTAATTATTTTATTTATAAACTTTTTAATGAAGATTTTGTTCGAAATGTGCACCTCTTGCAGCAATACAAGCATTGCATCTGTCAAACACGGCTCTTGTAGCAGCCAGGCACTGTTCTTGCGATATTCTGTTCGCTGCAGCTACGATACGATTTCTCAAATGTTGCTCTGATTGAATAGGCGAAGAATAAACTTCTTGCTTCAGAGTACCCCATGCATAGAAATCTAATGGCGTTAAGTCGGGCGAACGAGTTGCCCAATGTACTGCTCCTCCACGTCCAATCCATCGTTGTGGGAATTTTCTATCTAACCAGGTTCTAGCGACTCTGCTGTAATGAGCAGGGCATCCATCTAATTGAAACCACATTTCAGTACGTTGTTGTAATGGGATGTTTTCTAAATAGTCAGAAAATTCATTCTCCAAGAAATTTAGAAAACGGTCCCCATTTAATCTTGCAGGTAAAAAAAACGGTCCCACTAAAACGTCGTTCCAAATTCCAAGCCAGACATTAACAGAAAACTCTTGCTGAAATTTGTATTCTCTAACAGACCTGGGATTTTGATGAGCCCATATATCATAATTCCTTTGATTAATTATTCCACCTCTGGTAAATGTTGCCTCATCTGACCACATTATTTTAGATGGAAATAAAATATCATTGTGGCATGTCTGAAGGTACCAGTTACAAAAGTTCAATCTGTTCCAATGATCTTGAGGTAATAAATTTTGCACTTTTTGAATGTGGTAGGGATAGCGATTATCTCCTTTTACAGTTCGCCAAATTGTTTGTGGTGACACTCCCAATACAGCCGACGCAT